TTCTCTAGGCCAATCCGTTCAAAAAATATCCACTCACCTTCTTTTTTTGAAATGAGCATTAGTACTAGGAATGGAACATACCACCGTTGCACCGGTCTAAAGAATAACAATGAAGATAATAAACGCATGGATAAAACTACGGTAATCTTAGATTCATTTCGACTTTTTTCCTGAAATTGCCTTTCCAATCGGAATCAACCCAAGACCATCATAGTTTTATCATGCATTCACCATTCGTCTATACACACATGTTTACAGAAGTACAGAATTAGGCGTAAGACTGTTGCACCGAAAGAGTTCGTTGGGTTCAAAATTTTCGGCTCTTGATTCGGTTAATAGAAAAATTTCAGATTCAGACCAACCCGACGGCTTTTAGTCACTGATAAACCGATGTCTTTGATAGTAAAATTCTGAATGATTTGATTTATATTTTTCAAGAATTCTCGATGAAGATTCTCAATGGCAAGATATATCATTAAAAACTATTGAAAAATTAACTGTAACATTAATTGATTCAATAATGAAACGAACTTTATCAGGAAATATATGGTCATTTAAATCTATTAAACCATGGATTCTTCTTTATCGTGTAACAATTAAGTTTGTATAATATAACTTTTCTTTTTTCTTTTCTATATTTTATTTATTTAAATAGACGTGATTCAAAAAAGAATGAACAATTTCTAATATCATATGTTCGAACAGTTCATGAATTATTTGGAAAGTAAGTATATATATGTATTTTTTTTTTGTGTATATAAATAAAATAAATTTATTTCTATATAAATAATAGATATGAAAATTGTTTAATTGAATCTGGTGCTTTACTTGAATATTTTCTTATTGAATTAATACAAATTGAACATCCTGATATTCGAAAATTTTTATATTCTAATACAATTATTGATAATAAATCATTAGATAATTTGAATGAATCTAATGAACAAAAAAGTAAATTATCAAAAGTTATTGATGAAATTGAACAATGTATTTATTGTTTATATGGTCTTGTTTTACGTAAATCAAAAATGAAATATTTAAATGATCATAATTGTCGATCAGTATGAGAGTTTTTCTTTTTTTGAAAATTTTATTATTATATAAAAGACAAAATATTTTCTAGCTTGAATTAACATTAGATAAAGCAAGTCTAGTTTTTTATGCTTTACGACCAAAACAATTACCTGGTTATGAAGGTCGTGTTTGTACAATAACAAATGAAGTAAAGAAAAAAAAAATAATATGATGATGATAAAAAATGAAGATAATTTTATTCGTTTAGACCGAAAGTCTTTTTCAACGATTTGAATCTATGATTGAATGGGATGATGAACGTGAACAACGACGAAAACTTTTATTATCTTATATAGCTGATGCAGCATCGATTAATAGTCAAGGAAAACAAAGTGATGAACTTATACATTTATCTGATAAACCATTTAAATCAAATAATGCGTAAATTTTCTTTTCTTTTTTTATTTAAAAACAAAACCAAAAAAAATTTAATTTTTTAGTTTATTTGAAAATGATTTATATTATCTTTTTGCTGATTATTATCTTAAAATGGGTTCAAAAGATATAGTAACAAATGAATCATCAAAAAAGTAAAATAAAACGAATAATTTTTTTTTGATTATTATGAATTTGCTTTTTTTTTTTCTTCTCTGTCGGATTAATTAGAAAAGCACAAGAATATTATATAAAAGATTTATGTCTTAATACAAGACGATTTGACTCATGGGCTGGATTAACAGTTATTGAATTTTATAAAATCGAAGAATTTATTACAGTAAAGATTTAAACTTTTTTTTTTTTCATATTTAACATGTTTGTTTTGTTTTATAAGTTCGTTCAGCCATTATTAAATTTCCATGTTGTTTCATTTTCAAAACTTTTGATTGATGGACTTTTTTTTTTTGTACTGAATTCTGAGTAGAAACAGATGAGCTATTATATCGAGAATAATACATTAGAAATTAACACAGTATTTTAATAGCTTGATGTCAAAATCAATCGAACACTATATTTTATTGAAAATTTCTAATTTAATTCTGTATTCTTTTGTTTGTGATATTAAACAAATTTTTGCAACTGTTTGAACTCTTGATGCCAATAGATTTTCAATTAACAATTAGACCTTATCAACTTTTCTTAAGGTCCTTCTCAAAAATCGATCTCAGCCATGGAACTTTGAGGATCTGTTGGGGCTATAAAATGACATCTGTGGTAGAATTTTCAGCCTCCTATCCTGCCGTATTAGGGAGATACAAACTAAACAAGGGTAGAAAAAAAACAGCTTATCCTGGCTCCAAGAATTCTCTGTGACTCTTCATTGTTTTTTGTTTGAAAGAGCATGTCAGGACGCAGTGCCGATGAGGACCCTTTTTAAGGGAAATAAATGCGGAAACTTCGGATTTAAATCCGAGAGTTATGTGTACTTCAAAAATTGAATGAGACAGATGAGTCGTTCTAGAATATGGGGATATAAAAATTATTCTGGCAAACCTTATCTATAAACACTTGATTTCTATTGGCTACTGCTCAACCAATAGGATTTGGGGATGAATACAGCTCAGATTTGAACTCTTCACCTTGGTTTACCCTAAGAAAGTCGTTTTTCCTATAACTTGATTTCTATTGGTTACTGTTCAACCAATGGGATTTCGAGGCGAATAGAGCACAGATTCGAGTTCTCCACCCCAGAAAACCTCGAACTATCATCTCTGTGATCGAAAGATAGAGCTCTATTTGTGGACCAATTAGAGCGTGACAAAAACAGAACCGAATTCCGATTAATTATCTTTGCAATAGCTGAGTTGGCTTTCTTGTTTCCTTATGTTTTATATACCATTTTGTAGCTCGTAAAATTCTCTATCGAGTGGTATATAATAGTTGGGGTTTTAGTTGACTATGATAGGAAAAGTCTTTTACGAAAGTGGGGATGGGTCGATCTTTCCATAGGGAAGGTGCAGGGAAAAATGAGTATTTTTGCAATAATTCAGGAAGGGCTCGGCCAATCCTTCTCATCTTCGAACTCGACTGAGATATTGTTAAGACTGAACTGTGTAGAAAATTTCATCGCGATCGGACTCTCCTCTCGAAAGTTATCGTGTTAACGGCCGGACACACTGACCGATTCTAGAGTGTACTCACTTTTTGAGTGCACAAAAAAGAATCTGGTTCTCATAGGCACTGCAGTTTTACACGCTCTTTCAAACGAAAAAAACCTATTGGCTACAATGAAGCTCCTTCGAGAATTCTTGGAGATGCGATCGAGAAAAATCGAAAAAGATTTTTGGTTTTTTTCGAAAACAACTTGTTTCCCTGTATTTATCCTAATTTCGGTGATTCTGACGAAAAGTGACCTTTTTGAGGTGGAACCTTAAGTAATCACTACAGGTTGCTTAAGATGTAACTTATGTGTTATAGCACAAGTTTCATAGGAGCGTCCTAAGACATATTTAATAATATTGTCGTGGCGATTAGATGCTTTATTTGAATTTCCGGACACCCCTTTTATTTCCTGTTTATAAAGATATAGGAGGTATAGAAATTGATTTTTTTGAGCAAGGTTTGACAAGTGGCAGCAATATATATTTTATGAATAGATATTTAAATTTAATATCATTGAATGATCAGCTGTACCGATTAATCAATATCTTCTACACCTCCTATATCTTGATTAATAGGAAACAAAAGGGGTGTCCGGAAATTCAAATAAAGCATCATACGTCCATTACTGTGTTGAATTAATACAGTTGGATAGGTCCATCAGACTCAATTTCGATAGTATTTATACGAAGTCTACATCGAATAAAAATATAATTATAATAACCCATTTGAATTCTATTTTCAATTTTGCATTGATTCGAATTAAACGAAGACTTACTATTCAAACATAAATTAACTTATTTAAGACTTTACGTTTTTCTTTTTTTTTTGTGTCTAGGCTGATGATTTTGATCCACGTATATTTAATGTACATATGTCTGCTTCATGTTTTTTTCGACAAGCTGTTTCTGTTGATAGTAATAATCATACACTTTGGATGGAATATGCTGAAATAACTTATATATTACAATCATATTGTTCAAAATATGTAAAAATACATGTTTGTTTTTTTCTTCTCATTTAAACAATATTATTCTATACAATTTAGAAAGAAAAAGCAAAAGATTATGTTCCAGATCGATCATTTTTATTAAATATATGTAAAGAAGCATATGAAAAAGCTAATATATGTACAGATAATGATGATAATAAAGAAGATTGGACTTATTTATATATGATGGCTAAAATTGAAGAAAAACTTCATCGAAATAAATTATTTAGTACATTAAAAAAATATGTTGCTGTAAAGAAAAAGAAATTTTTCGTATATCTTTTTGAGAAAATATTATCCTATTTCTAGGCTCTTGATCTTTTACATGAACATAAAGCTGTTTATCCACGTAAACTTGGTCATCATACAGCACCATCAAGTTCAAAGGGTATTCTACTTGGTTGTCATGCTGTTGAAGTAAAATTTTCATATATTTAAAAAAAAAAAACAAATGACTTTTTTGTTTAATCCTTCTCTATCATCTTTAATGTATAGATGTTTTATCGAATACATGCATCAACACTTAAATATTTAAATCGTCATAGTAAAGAATCAGCAGATTTAACAATTGATAAATTAAATGAATTTTATGAATTTTTAATTGAAATGCAAAATAAACCATTTGCAACAAGTTATTATGACAAATCAACTATGTAAGATTTTTCTTTTCAAATTAGAGAAGTTTTGAAGATAATCTTATGTTTATTTAGATAATTATATAATTTTATGTTAATTTTCTAAAATAAAAATAATAGTTCTATTATTACATATGAATATTTTGTAAAAAAATGAAACTATTGTCCGTTTCAAAAGCAGAAGAGGATTGAATAGTTTTTGAATAAGTCAAAAACGCAAGTAGATAGAAAGTTCGGATTTTCACCATTGAAAAGAGGAGATCAAAACGCATCGAATCGTTTAATATATATTATTTTTGAGAAGTTTTATGTGAGTTTTTCTGACTATTTTTTAAAGACAAGCGCATCGATTCGGATCATTAAAATGAATTTTGAACTTTTAGGAGTGTTTTCGTGACATTTTTTTTCTAATAAAATTGGTCAAAAAGTATGAAAGTCCGGGGGTCAAAAGGCGTTATCTTATACGATTCGATGTGTTTTCATCTATTCTTTTCAAATGTGAAAATCGCAGCTCTCTACCTTGTTCCTATCAAAAGTTATTCAAAAAATACGCACACCTCTTCTACTTTGAAACGAATAATAAATTAAACAATCTGATAGGTATGCCCAGTAAAGTGTTTTATCCAGGGAGGGCGAAATCGGTTGTCGGAGGGGGGAGGGAGAGCAAGCAAAAATTTTCTTAGAGAGAAGCTATTATGGCAATTACCTCTCTAAAAGGTATTTCTATTTTTTCGAAGAAGCATCGACCTCTACGCTAGATAAAACATTGTCCCAGTAGATGTTCTCAATCTGCATATCGTCTGATATCGATCATCGAAGAAATCGTTTAATTTGAACGTTTAGTTTTCGAGAGAAATAAAAAAGAAAAGGTTTTTTTTCTAAACTAATTTTTTAAATGACTATGCTCAGTTAGCATAAATGCTTCTAAATCATACAGCAAGTTTTCCTGTTGAACATCTTTTTTCTTCAGATTTCGATTCATTTCTATTGAAAATTAATGATATATTTGGAATCAGTGAGTGAAACTACATTGGATGACACATGACATTTTCTAAATAAAAAATATGAACAACGATTTTCTTCAGATATTTTACGTTGAAAAAAAATCTTTATTTTCTTAAAAATGATTTTCTGAGCGATATATATAATCACTTTTGAGCAAAACAAAGCTGAAAGTTAAAGATCCGTCTACCATACGAAAAATACACACTGTGATGGAAACACTCACGTACATGAAGATGGCATGACCATTACCGTCATCGTTCGCATGATCTTCGAACAGTCTCTCGTGGTAATTCATCCAACAAAAAAATAGCTCTCTGCTATTGTATCTTATATCTGCGGTGTCCGCACTGCTGTTATCTTAAAGAGATCAATAAGTACTATTGTTTTAATATCATTATATGCATCAAAAGCCAATCATCAATAGATGTTTGCGAATATGTAGTATCACTGTCACCTATTCATTAGTAATGAATATTTGTTGATGATTAGCTTTTGAGAAGTATAATTAATTAAAGTGTATACTTATAATAGATAGAATAATGTATCAATCTACATGAGAATTAATATAAAAATTCGTAATTTCATCTATTTTTACATTTTTTTTTTAGTCCAAGTGATTCTCATTCTGGTCAATTAATCAGTGATTTATATTTTCCTCATAAATCAGGTAAATTCTTTCATTAAAGCCGACTACAGAAGGAAATATATCTAGGACTCAGGGATGTGGCGACCATGGGGTGCAGAGAGATGCGCACCCTCCCACTTTTCGAAAATTTTCGCTTTTCCTCGACAAAAATTGTCAATTTTATTGAAAAAAAGATCATGAGATGGAAAAATAAGGATCTGCACCTCCCACTTTTTAAAATTTCGTACATACATTATTTTATGTTCAAAATTTTTTTAAATACACCCTCAACTTTTCAAAAAATTTCTCTTGTACTCCCTTCTCCTCCACTTTTTTCTCTTCGTCACATCCCTAGTAGAACTTTCTCTATCTAATAGTGTATACATTATTAAGTTTCAGTTTCCGTACGTTAACAGGTAGTATCACATTCATCCATGTCTTTATCAAAGGTAACACCATCTATTGACATACTAACATTATGCAGTAGAACTTAAGAATACATATACTATTAGATAGGAGGAAGTCTCTCTCGATAATCCTACATATATATTCTATTCTGTAATGAAACCTTTACAGTTGCTTTTTCTATAAAAAAAACACTATTTTAGATCTCATAATCGATCCCTGGCTTACTGTATATAATAAATGTATATGGTTATGTGTCGAAGGTCTTTATATATGTATTGCACGTTATAATCGACATTATCGTGGATTTTATCGTCTTTCACATTTTTTTCATACAAATGAATATTATCGAAATGATCGACTTAGTTTAGAATTTTTACTTGGTGGTAGAGTACTTGAATTAAAAAATTATCCAAAAATTATTGGTCTTTATCAAGAACGTTCAAAACATAATTTATTTAATGTAAGTTTAAGATTAACGATAAGAAAAAAAAACGGAGATATAAAATTAAATAAATAAATATAGGGTATTTGGCGTATTCAACCATTAGATGCTGATCGTACTGGTTCATTTAATGCTTCAATGTATAAATCAACTCGTTTATTAATTGATCTTCTTCTTCAATTTGATGAACATTTATTTATTTTATTTGAAGTTCTAAGACAATTATTAGATAAACCAGATCTTGAAAAGTAATATTTATCAATTATAAAAATAAAAACAAAAACTCCTTTTTTCTTTTTAAAGAAAATATCTTCGAGAAGTTGAAAGGAATATATTATGTCAACATGCAATTAAAAATCTTTTTCGAACAATTAAAAAAAAAGTTTATATATTTAATTTTTTCTATTATTCAAAGCTTTTTCTTTTTTTTTTCTTTGTTGTATATTAGGTTTTACTTAAAACACGTGATGATATTGAACATGAAGGTATAAAAATTATATCATCAATTGATGAAAGTGATACAACTAATATTCCTTTACCTATTCTATTTGAAATATCTATTAAATTATATAATTTAATTAAAAATTATCCAACATTTTATCAACATTCACGTCTTGATGAATTAGTTGAATTAACTTTTCAACGTTATCGATCAATTCTTAGAGTAATAAGAAAATTTTCAAAATCATTTTTTTTTTCTATTTCAATTTTCTAGTATTCAAGTCATCTACCAGAAAATCCAAAAGCCGAAAATTTAACATTGATATACACACCAAAAAAACTAAAACAAAAAGTAATACAAAACATAAACAGAAACTATTAGCGCCATTTCTACGGTATTAAAATTTGAAATACGATTGACCTGCATATATTTTAAATCTTGAGAGTCTGCATAGAGCGTCAAAGTCAAGTGTCTTAAATTCGATCGTCTTTCATTATAAAATTATAGAAAGTTTTAGTTTCGTGGTTAGGTCTATCACAAGCTGTGATGAGCCGGGAGTGTTACTAAGCTATCTGTCATGTCTGAGAGGAAGCAGAATCAAAATTTCTATCCTAATATTTCACTACTCCATTCGAATCGTGTTTCTCGGAAAACACTTTTCGTACATTTGCAGAAGTCTGATGAATTTCCAAGAATGTCATTATATGAAACGTTGAAAGAGTCTTTCGATATTGATTCAATTTTAAAGATATACGAAAGTGTATTTACTTAGCTATCAACAACCTATTTTTGTTCCTAAACAATCGATCTAGTTGGAAATTTCAGTCCAAAATATTGAGTTCTTCAAGAGTTACTGGTATATTAAAGATCAAAAAAGTAGATCTCCGTATGTTCGAGATTTCTCCCTTAAATCTCTGGTTGGCGTCACAGTGTAGTCAACACTTATCGCTGAAACTTAACAGAATTCAATTCAAACGAAGACTTCTACATCAAGGTTGCCACCTCTTCCGCTTTCTCGGATAAAAGACTTTCATTTGGTTATTCACAATTCGACATAGAAAAAAAATCTGTTGTTGTTCAATAAATCGTGATCACTAAGGTATATAGTCTGTTATCATAGTTATTAGTCCATCTGTTAACTTACTAAAACAACATTAAATTTTTTGCTATGAACGAGAGACTGGTTTCAACTTCTATTGATGAAGTAAAAACACCATTCTACATTCAACTAATAGCTAATTCTATTGACCTATTTGTTTTTTCTCTGCTTTATTGACACAGAAAAAGGGCATAAATCTGAAAATTTAAACCATTTTTTTGTACCAAATCCATAATGAGATAATAATTAAGGATGAAAATCGAAAACAGCAACAATTAGACGAACATAAATCTGTAGAAACCACAAAAGATGCTTGTGGGCCCAAGAATTATTTTCATCATAAAACTATACAAAATTCAAAAAGTCAACAAAAATATAGGTTTCTACTTTTTCGACTTTATGAGGTGGCAACCCTATTGTAAGTACTTGTAAACAATAAATTATTTCTCTTTTTGCGTTTTGATCATTCAATTTAATCTTCATATTCGTAATTATTTCAGAAACGACCAACAGCTACTACTACTGAACAATCAACTACAAATAAACGTCCATGTGTTGAATCATCATCATCGTCACCATCTCAAGTTTTTCAAGGACTTGCTTCATTTATTTCAAATGACTTTGTTTCAATTAATGAATAAATAAATCAGATATAAATATATATTCTTTTACTTCACTAATAAAGAAAATAATGTTCTATTAATAAAAAAATAATCTTTTTTTGTACTTCCAGAAAATGTCTACAAAACGACGTTTAAAACGTTATATACCAAATTTAAGTGAACTTGAATATGATTTACAATGTGAATGGGGTGCAGAATGTTGTGTTCGATTAAATGATCTTAAAGAATTTTATCGACATTTAGATGAACATCTTTCAAATTATATTAATCAATATCAACAAGTACCAAGTAATAAAAATATTTTTATTTTCAAAACAAGATATTTGCTTTAATTTATATATACATATATATATAGATTTAACTTGTCAATGGCGTAATTGTGGTCATGTAGAAGAATTTGATATTTCATCATTTATTCGACATGTACAATTTCATGGTTTTCATACAAAATTAAAATATCTTGGAATGAAAACATGTGAACATAATCATCCTAATATACCTCCATGTCAAAAATCAAGTGAAAATCGAAATATTATACCTGATTTACCTGTAGAATTTCGTTGTTCATGGGGAGAATGTCAAGTAATTCAATTACACAGAATATCTTTTTTTTTCTCTGTCTATCTCTCTCTCTCTCTCATAGTTTACAAATAGTCATGCACAACTTTTCTATGAACATGTTAATCAACATGCTGGTTCAGATGTATGCCGTTGGACAGGTAAAATTCAAAAACAAAAATTTTTGTTTTTTTTTTCCTACACACGTCAACAATGATGATAGAACGTTTTATTGACGTTTATCAAAACCCATCACTCCAAAACCAAAACATAAAATGATGATTAAAGGAGAGAAATCAAAAAAAATTAAAGAATCATTCACAATCTATCACTTAACGACCACCGGTGATTGAACCATGAAGGTTGTTGATGGTTTCTGAGAGTGAACCAAGAACATTGAGACCATGGCCAACAAGTTGTTCTTGAAGTTGTTCCCAGTGTGGTTTTGAGGCATCAAGAAGAGTTGAACCAAGAGTGGTAATGTTTCCGACAACGCCTTGAAGTATACCTTGAGCAGCTGAGACAGCACTACCGATTTGAGCTTGAAGGCCTAGAAAACAAAATGTTGTTTTTTGTTTTGATTAAATATTCATATCGTTTTTCTTTCACTTACCGGCAAGGAGATCATTTAAACCACGTCCACCAAAGCTACCAAGACCACCAAGAACAGCAGCTAAACCTTGGTTAAGAAAATGTTGACCGAGTCCTTGAACGGCTCCACTAATTTCACTAAGGAAGCCGCTAAAGATGGCACCAAGATCAACTGAGCCACGACCTATTTATCAAATATTCAAATGAAAATCTCTAAATAAAGACAAATCTAAGAGTATAACATACCACCAAAGACACCTGAAAGACTACCAAGAACTTGTGAAAGAGCTTGGTTGGCAAGTCCAGCGAGGAGAGGTTTGAATTGATCAACAATTTGGTTGAGGATGACTTGGATGTCAAATCGGCCAATTGAAGCAACAAGTGATGAAAGTTCACCAAAAGCATGTTGAACGAAACCATGAATTTGTTGTTGAAGATAGGTGAAAACAGTTTGTGCCATAACTTGTCCTTCTTGAACAAGTTGACCAATAAATTGGTTATGAACATTTGATGCCATGGAACCAGCAACACAAGCGAAGAAGATAAGAGCAAGAGCAGCTTTCATTGTTGAATATGTATTTTTTTTTTGTAATAATAATATGGAGATGAGAATGATGGGTGAAGTTACAATGAAAATCGAAGGGCTTTTTATACTCGAATTTTTTTTCGTAAACGCCTACATAAAAATCATATATAATAACCTTGTATATTCATACGCAATCAAAGAAAAAAACAATTCCATATGTTTTATTTTCTCATTGAAAACAAAAAAAAAAAGATTAATATTTTCAAGGTTGCACTCATCGACCAGATAAACCATCACGAATTCGAGAACATATTCGACGACATACACAAGAAAAAACAATAGCTTGTCCACGTTGTGGTTCATTATTTTCATGTGGAGTTAAGTTTATTGAACATTGTCAATTATCAATTGAAGGTATTTTATTTATTTATTTATTGAAAATTTTATTTTTTATTTTTTTTTATTGTTATTTTAGTTTCACCAAATTTTCAATGTGAAAAATGTGCACAACAATTTCAATCAAAATCTCTTCTTCAAAAACATCTAAATAAACATGGTTATTATTAAATATTTTTTATTTTTAAAAACAAAACAAAATAAGAATTTCATTTTTCTTTTTCTTGATGCAGCAACAAAACATGCATGTCCATATTGTACACAAATATTTTCAACTCCATCAGGTGTAAAACGACATATTATTTATCGACATACAGATATAAAATATTTTCAATGTCCTGATTGTTCACTTTCGTAAGAATATTTTAAGTTTTTGAAGAAAATTCATTATTTTTTTTTCTTGTTTATATATAGTTTTAAATGTGCAAATAGTCTTACAGTACATCGTCGTCGTTTGCATCTATTACCATTACTTGATAAAATTAATGATGATGATGATAAAGAACAACCTACTGATTCGAATGATAAACAAAAAGTAAATAATGCTTTTTTATTTTTCTTTTGTAATAAAAAGTAATATTAATAAAATATTTTAAGCCTCAATATAAATATGCTTGTCATTTATGTGAACGATGTTTTTCACGTGGAAAAAAATTGACTGGACATTTACTTAAAGTACATCAACTTGGTAAAGCTATGGGATGTACTAGATTAAGGTTAGCATGCATTTTTTTTTCTATAATTCTATTACAAAAAATTTTTATTTGTAAAAACGAATTAATCATATTCTTATTAATAAATGTTAAATTGTTTGTGTATACTCACGCGCGCGCAGGAGAAAGTTAAAAGAATTTTATACTGAAAGGATTAAAGAAGATGTTTGATCTGGAATATACAAAACAAACGTAGTCAGCATCTGATCATTTCAAATGAACTATATGAACAAAAAAAATAAAAGGTTTTCATGTATCTATATAGTTTTTCTTTCATTGTAAAATAAAATCAGCTTTAAATAAATCATAACCATAAGATATCATGGAGTAAATAACATTATTCATTTTCGATAAATTTTATTGATTATTTTTTGTAATCTTAAATTTCTTTCAGTTATACAATGCGAAAAGATGGTTTTTTTCGTGTACAAAGTGAACTTGTTCCTATATCATTATCATCGGAATTTTCTCTACAACAACAACAACAACAACAACAACAACAAAGTTTACCATCGACATCTCAACATCTTCCACAAACGACATGTGCATCATTTCTAATCAATCGTTTATTAAATGATCGTGAAGATGGAAATCAACATCCACCATTTAGTCCTGAATTTGAACTTGATAATTGGAATGATAATGAAACTGAATATACTGATCGTGGTGATGATGATGATGATGGTGGTGGTGGTGGTGACGATGATGATGATTATGATGATAATGATAATGATGATGATGATATTACAGATTATGTTGATTTATGCTCAAAAAGAGCAATATATACATCAGATATTTTATAAACATTATGTATATAATTTATTCGTTCTTTGTTGTTTTTCTTTTATTGAAAAATAAAGGACGATAAATATAGTCAATTATATTTTAATTAGATAATCTTTAGCTTGACACTGGACAACCAATGATCATAACTATTGATAGGAACAAGATAGAATGCTACGGTTTTTTAATCAATTTTCTAAAAAAACATGTTGGAAAAATAGGTTCTTTTAACATAAGAAAAAAAGGGATTTTTTTTTGCGGCAATTGCTTGATGACTGAAAATCCACGTAAAAAAACTTCGTACTTTGAGGTAATGTATGAATGCATATATTACATATTTGTTACGAACTTATTTTTTTCATGTTTTATATTCAGCGATGGATATTGAGTAAATTTTATTATCTTAAGCTGAATTTTGTTTTGAGATCTACATGCTGATTTACAGTTTATTTTCATTACATGATTTTTGTTTTTATTCCTTGTATGTTGTTACTGGTTTTTTATTATCTGATCATGATTGGTATTTATAGAATGACGGACATAGAAGGAAAAAATATTGATGGAAAGTTGCTTTATATATCACTACATCGAAAAGATTCTATTTTAAAAGAGGACAAAGGAGTTATTTTTAATTTCAAGATCATTAAAATTATTGAATTATATTCTAATTGAAGATAATTACATAGATCAAAATTCATCATCTTCTAGATCATATCGTTTATCATCACTTTACTTTTATTTCAAATATCTATATAAATTCATTTAATTTTGAAACTAATAAATCATCAAGAATTCAATTTAACAAATGCAAATACATGTTGCTTGTTTGATTTCTTTTTGGACAATTTTATAAAATAATCCATGGAATAGTTTTTGACACTATTTTGCTTTTATTAATATTTCATAATTTTTAGTCATTTTTTTACCGCAGTTATACTTAAGGAGACTCTCCCTCTTTCCCGACTCAAAATTTTTATATTTTTCGTTTTACATTTTTTGAGATTAGTATCTAGATTTAAATGCCCTCTACCCATTGAGCACACTTTGAGAACTGAAGACACACATCTTATATATAAAAAATTCGAAAAAAATCCCAAAATATGCTGAAAAAACCACAAAACATAAAGGAGGGGGGTCGTTAAGAGGCGAAAACGGCCCCTCGTCGGAGTTCGACCTTGTCTTTCCAATTTTATCAGTTTAGGTGCCAGAAGTCTATTTCTATTGAAATTAGACGATTTGATGCGTTCCACATTGTATCCGACTCGACTTAGTTATTCTTCTTTTCTCCATGTTATATAGCACAAGTATAGCACTTTTGATTAGCAGAAACATCTCAATCCATTTTGGATCATATACTAATCGATAGATCTCATTGAGATCTATCAGATGATGATAAAATATCTAGAGAAAAAAGTGGGTAAGTGGATATGATATTCGACATAATGGGGACAGGGTCATATATTACAGGGTGTGGAGGGATGGTAGAGAACTTTTGTCCATGAGAAACATGCAGGTCCACTCTAAATTATACACTAATCGATAGATCTCATCGAGATCTATCAGATGATGATAAAATGTCTAGAGAAAAAAGTGGGTAAGACACTTCATTGATGCATACAATGCTCATTAATGCCCAAAACTGCCTTTTTAGACTGATTTTGATCGATTTTCTCTCGGATAGTCAGGCTTGTTATTTAAAAAACAAATATATTTGAAATCAGCACAAAAAACTGAGTCGATCTATGTATATGGTAAGGTGCTTCATCGACTTTCATTTTCGTTGAAAAAATCTAACGCATCCCTGAGAGAGACGACAGCTAAATTTTCCGACGAAAATGAAGGTCGACGAAGCACCTTATCATATACATAGGTCGACTCAGTTTTTTGTGCTGATTTCAAATATATTTGTTTTTTAAATAACAAGCCGGACTATCCGAGAGAAAATCGATCAAAATCAGTCTAAAAAGGCAGTTTTGGGCATTAATGAGCATTGCATCGAAAGAGAGAACAAAAAGTGAGATTGTGAAGGGAACTTAATTGCTACTCTCATTTTAAGCAAAAACACTCAAGGGAATCGGATGCATTTTACTAAAAAGCTAATTTGACATTCGATCCACCTTTGTTGTATTACATATTATGATCTTCATCTATCTCAAAATTGGTGACAGACAAGAAACTTCAACCAAATAAAATTTTTATACCTGGAATTGTGCTGTTTTTTCTTTACCTTTTCTAACGAATTCAGTTATAGTTTCCTTCAACATTTCTTATTATTATCAATTAACATTTTCTTCTTTATACCATGTATAAAATTTATATCGACCAGTTTGCAGTTTTTCACGTTTTCGTATTTAGAGTTCTACTAAATTATGGGTATAATTTTATCATTATACCTGATATCAACAATAAATGAAATGGTCTTTCTGTGGCTGAACATGTAGGAAAAACTTCAGTAATGTTGGCTCAAATCTCTTTATGATTTTTCATAATTCAGCATGTTACTTACCACATTAGTAATCATACTTGAAAAAAAACATATGAATCAGTTAGTTTGAACTCGAAATGTGTTTAGTGCCCCACAGAGTTCCGTAGAGTCTCGGAGTTAGCTGTTTCCTCCTTGGATTTTAGTATAGCCAATGTGCTTTTTGAATTTTTAAATTTAAATCTAATTAAATGCAACAATCATTTGAGCTTTAATTAGTATCCTGCAATCGAATCGGATACCCGTTACCCGGCCCGAAGCCTGCGTCCGGTTCGGTTCGGATTAGGGGGTGTGAATTTATTGTTATTGTTATTAATAACAATAACTTTTTTTTGTTATTTGTTATAAATAACAGATAAATAACAAATAACTTTTTTTTTTAAAAAACGTTTGTCTCATCTCGCTGTATATTTTAATCGTGCTCGTTATGTAAACTTAAGCTTTAGACCGAATTTCCACCTCATACAGAGCTGATTCATACGGTTTGACCAAGATGGGCAAAGGGGACCGAATTTTCAGAAAAAAAAGTTATTTGTTATTTTTTGTTATTTATAACAAATAACTATGCAAAAATAAGTTATTGTTATTAATAACAACAGGATAACAATAACTTCTCACCCCTAGTTCGGATACCGGGTAAGAAAAAACATTCAGTTCGGTCCCGGGTATGATGTCATACCTGGACCAGACCAGGCAATTGTGACATCAACAACTGAATCCTGAACCACTTGATTCACTCGTTTTTTGCGAAATTTTATATGATCTTTTTATTGTTGTTTATTGATGCAATTAAAATAATAGTATATTTGGTCATATGAAACAAAAGTTTCAAAAGCATAGTATGCCTATGAAAATTCCTGCTCGATGTCAATTACTTTCGTCAAGATCTGGTGCCGAGTACCGTTATTCCGATCCGGTTATCATATAGTCGAGTTGATTCGGCTCGGAGTATTAAGAAAAAGTGCCGGTTCGGGTTCGGATGCAAAAAGTGGTATTCCTGCAAGACACTAAGTGTTGCCAGATTCAAATTACTTTTTTTTTAGTTATGATATCTGTAGTGCGACTTCATTAGTAGTAACCCTAATTTATACATGAAGCAAATATGGATACTTCTCCAAATCACCGATACCCCAGCATCTATATTCTTTGATATTCTCATTCGTACTCTTTGATGTGCACTATCGATTGAATAAATTATTGTACAGGATGTTCTTGATTTGAAAAAGAATGATAACAGCTGAGGATTTTCATAATATGAAACACATTTTAAATAGATATGAAATATCTATCATATTTCATATCAAACGACTGAGAAAATCGTCGTCAAAAATGAAGAATAGCATACATACGACAAAAAAAAAAGTAATGCCATTCATTCATTTAATCATTTGTAGTCTGTTTACGCAATTAGACCATAGAAAAAAAACACATCATTGTTTTCATTGACGATATCCGTCAAATAGAATGAACTGATATATATATATATATATATACAATATTGATATTTATAAGCTAAGAAAACTAGATATATTAATATACAAACATGGCACATTCATGTATTCAATTAAATGATTTACCGGATGAAATTCTTGTGATTATTTTCAAAAAATTGAATAATATCATACTACTTTATTCTTTAATGGGCATCAATAAACGATTAGATAAAATTTTACATGATTCTATTTTTACTAGTAATTTAAAATTATTGAATTATTCATCATATGATTCTATTTATTCATTATCTAATTCAATGCTTGATCGATTTTGTTTGCAAATCTTACCTAAAATTAATAACAAAATTAAATCGTTTAATCTTGAAATATCATCAATGAAACGTATTCTTCTCTCTGCAAATTATCCTAATTTATTTGAACTTGGTATATTTAATATTGAAAAGGAGGCTGCTTTGTGTCTCGTTACACGTAAGGATAATTTTACTTAAGATTCTTTCGATCAAATTTTTTGTATCAAAATGAATATTAACATTCGTCACGATTAGATTTTCTGAGAAAATAGCTTTAACAAATTAATTTTTATGTGCATTCACCTTCTCAATGTACTAGTTGGTTTGCCAGTTCTTTTTTGTATCATTATATAGGTGGTCTTCTTTCATGTCGAACTGAACGGCTACTCAAGTTTGTTTATCTTGGTCTTATGTATTACACAATAGGAACGGGCTAATGAAACGAAATTTCGATTATTTTCTGATCACAAGCTCGGAGGAAAGGATGGATCTGTGCACATCGTCCGGAGATGCTGTGCTAACTCCTATGAGACAAGCAGAGAAGAATCATGCGATGGCAAAGAAAATAAAAATCTTCTGTTCTGATTGTTTTAACGAAAGGTATCATGCTATGCAATAAACGATTCAAACAATAGCAGAGGCAGAACAGATAATACGTTATATGTAGCTTCATGCGTAAGGATAAAAATGAAATGAAAGCATTCTTCTATTATGCTTGCTAAAATATAGTGAGTCCCATCGTGTGAATGTATTAAAGAAATTAACATACAGAAATGAAGAGAGAATTTTCGTTTGCATATGAAATAATATTTTGAAATTAAATCAAAAGAATTGATACTGATATTTGATCAATATTAAAATACTTAATTAATTTTTCTATTTATATTTAGATCAAAATTCTTTAATTCATATGTTTAAAAATCAGATTTCATCATTAATAATTGGAACTAAAAATAGACTAGGTGTGTCACGTGATGTGAATACACTTATATTTACAAATATATTTTCTGTATTCAACAATTTAAAATATTTCAATTTTGATCCATCTTCGATTTGTTATCAAACAATATCATTCAAAAATTCATCTTCACCTATCTTCTCTTCAACAACTTTGCTAGAATTACATGTCAAAGTAGATGTTATTGGCGATTGTCTTTATTTACTTGATGGCCGTTTTAATCAACTTCGTTCTTTCCATGTTCATATATTAATGCCATTTAGATATTCGATGTTACAATTAAATACAGTATGTTTTTATGAATTCCTTATTTTATTGAAATCAATGATAAAAACTTGTTTTTTTTGTTAAGGAAAAACTACCAAATCTAAAAAATTTTTCGTTGTCCTCATGTAGTCTGAAAATACTTTTCTATGATGAAATAGTTATACCACTTTTACATCGAATGTTGAATTTAGAACAACTTAATCTATATTTTTATTGTTCTCGCCAAAAAACATTTGTTGATGGAAATGATTTGAGAACAAATATTTTGAATCATTTACCACAATTAAAATCATTTGCATTTAATATTCGCTCATCAATTGATTCTGTTAATCAAATTAATTTACCATCAAATGACTATATTCAACATACATTCAGAGAATTTAAATATAAAAAAATTTTATCTTCTGTTGATTATTTTCCAGATTCAAACAGTGGTGAATGTTATATTTGTTCATATCCATTTACAATGACATGTTATGAACGTATTACAAATAATTTTTCAGGTCAAGTATTTCAATCTGTTTGTGAAGTATCATTATATGATGAACGTTCTTTTGAACATGAATTTTTTCTTCGAATTGCTCAATCATTTCCATTTATGAAAAAACTATATGTAATTAATGATAAACCACAAAATGATAAACAATGTAGAAAATGGAAAGATAACAATAATAATTTATTAATTATTGAATATCCTTATCTTGTTCATCTTGATCTTGGTCAAGCTCATCATGATTATGTCGAACAATTTCTACTTGATAGCAAAATGTCTTTACCAATTAATGTTGAACTTCATGTCATGTATGAATCTTTAAAAAAAGTAACACGCAATTTTAAAAGAAATGCAACACGAATTAATTGTTCAAAAATCAATTATATATGTACAGATCGAATTTCTCCATATCCAAAACATTTGAAAGACTATTTTCGTAGTGCATATCTACCTACACTTTGATTATTCTCAATTATTATTTGAATAAAATTGATGTTGTATAGAATGAATATTGACATAATAATATAGATTTATGAAAAAATATGAAATATGTTTTTGATTTAGAGTTGACAAGTTGAAACAAAAAAACGCGATTAGCTCATTTCCTGCTAGATTAAAACGTGAAAACAAAATAATTGCTTTATTAATAGAAGAATGTGTTTAATAAAACAGCTTTTTAATTTGCTTCTAAACGCTAATAGTGTTTCTATTCAGTAATTCGAAAGAAGTATACAGTGGACTTGACTTGAGATATTTTATATTTGTCATGGTTTGGAAGAGAATGGGAGAAAATCACTTCTATTAAAGACTTTATAATTAGAAAGTTATTATAAACATAAGAGTCTCTGTAATTTCTATTATTTAATGTTTTAGTATCGAAGAAAATAACTTTAAAAAAATTTTTTTGATAAATACAATATCAATAAGAAGTCTCTAGGCATGTCAAAGTCCAGGTAAAGTTGACCATTTCTCACCAAATTTTAATCAGAGATAGAGGTCGAAAAAATCTGATCGTAAGGATGAATCCGAGTTAAATTGATAGAGATGTGATGGAGTTAGGATTCAAAATCTATTTTGAATTTTGCTGACTTCGATCATAATATTTGAAGAAATTTTTAAGCGACTTACATTTATCACTTCAAAGCAGAGGTATCCATAAGATCGCCAGCATCAACATGGTTTTAGCACTGTAGGACAGAATTCGTATTGGTTGTGACGTTATTATTTCGAATTATAAACTATAAACCACGTAAAAGTCAACAGAATGATGATGATTCAGATTAAGTATTAATTCTATTCTAAAAGACAAAGTTTGTATCTTATCTCTTTCACTTTCTTTTGTGGAACTCACATATTTTTTCGAAGAAAAATAGAAAGGGTCTTAAAGTGAAAAAATGTATGTTTGTCTGTCTGTCTGTCCTAGCCAATCAGAAACGAGCTTTTCTATTCATTGGGTTTTCGCCCATTCTGATGAAACTTTGCTATAGGTTTTCGGGGGCGAGGAGTTCGAATCCGAAGGCGGATGTTTGATCTGAGCATTGATTGGTTGAGAAACGGACCAATCAGAAACGAGCTTTTCTATTTTAAGGTTTTTTGCCATGCTGACGAAACTTTGCTATAGGTTTTTGGGGGCAAGGAGTTCGAATCCGAAGTCAGATTTTTGATCTGAGCTTTGATTGGTTGAGAGTCGGACCAATCAGAAACAAGCTTTTCTTTTTTAAGGTTTTTCGCCATTCTGATGAAACTTTGCTATAGGTTTTTGGGGGCGAGAAGTTCGAATCAGAAGTCGGATTTCTAATCCGAGCTTTCATTGGTTGAGAATCGGACCAATCAGAAACGAGCTTTTTTATTCATTGGGCTTTCGCCCATTCTGATGAAACTTTGTTATAGGTTTTCGGGGGCGAGGAATTCGAATCCCAGGTCGGATTTTTGATCTGAGCTTTCATTGGTTGGGAAACGGGCCAATCAGGAAGAAGGGTGTGAGGGTGTGGGTGTAGGTGAGTGTCGATAAAAAAAATATTCACACTCGCAGCCACACCCACAGCCGCACTCGCACCCACGCCCAACCGACACCCACACACTCACACCCATCCACGCCCACATGAAGAAACAACTGGCAGGAAGGCTAGTATCGAATAATTGAATGGCGTTAAATATGGGCACGACTAGACGTTGACTGAGAAGGTTATTTTAGAGCAGAATTTTGACATGAGTCTGAAGCGGTTTAGGGAGATTCTCAGAAGAACTTAACTAATGCTGATTTGAAAACAAATTCGGCAACATATCATTTTGTTAAAATAAAAAGAAGTTGAAAACTATGACGAAAAGTACACAACATTATTTAAATGTCGGAAATTTTTGATTACATATCGATACGTCATGAGTAAACTATTTTTTCTGCGCATCAGAGTACTAATGTGACAAATGGTAGGCAGAAAAATAAACCAAATATGGAAACGGCTAGTCGTGAGTGGCCGACCGGAGGGAGGCCGACGAACGACTAGACGTTGATTTAGAAGGCTTATCGTAAGTATAAGTGAAAGTTGAGGTACCTTCTGAAATTGTCAAATGATCTGATTCTTGAACCAAAATAATTCCTTATTAGACATTTGACGTAATATAGTCTATCCAGTAAAGGATTTATGGATGCTAGCAGGGCGTTTTTTGCTTATTGTGTCGTAAGCAAAAATAGATGTAGTTATGCCATCCTAAAGGTTTCAAGAAGCTGTGCGAAATCCTATAATTTTGAAAAAAAGATGTTTTTTTCATGTTATTCTGATTTAGGGTGGTCGCCACTTGGTCATGCTACTGAACTCGCTGAACAAACGGAAACAACTAAACGACATCTAATTTCGTTTTCCTAAAGAAACAGTCATATAGCAATACATATCCCACTTAAAAAAGCATAAATGTTTGTCTCTCCGTTTTATTCAGGAAAGTCTGAGTTCAGAATAAGAAAATATGACATCCCAAACAACTGAATATGACCATATATCTGTAATAAGCTTGATCAGACTTAATCAAGGATAAACAACTGAAATTCGAGGTCTGCTTCTGATGATGGTATAACATTTAAATGTCTAGCGAATCATTTAAGGGTGCTCGCTCTAGAGAAATCTAGTGCTGAAAGGCGGTTAATATTTTTCAAAACATTTATTTTTTGATTCTTCAACTATATTAACCCTTTACCCCCCATAGAGGTTCCAGAAGAGCTATTGATGAAACAGCCATTGGAATAGAGTATTGGTGCCTTCAATATGCTAAAATTACGGTCAGATCGATCAAACGCACACTTGAGTTTTAGGGTAGTTTGTTGAGGGGGAGTAGGGGGATTGATTTGGAAAAAATTTCGTGAACTTTCCATAATACCGACGGAGTTCGGCGAAAAAACATCGTAGAGAGCTCGTGGACGTCTTATTTTGTAGAGAATTGTTCACTCTATAATTTTACGTAGTTTAAACAAAACTTTATTTTCGGATTGTAGACGGCCAAAAGCTAAGGGTTGATTTTCTGGAAGTCCTTCAGTGACCATTCGATGCTTTACCACATCTTGCCTACCTAATGCTTTTCAAATTTTTGAAACTTATATAATCTACTAGTGGATACTTTCTTTGATGTAAATCACGCAACACGTCGCCAAGATATATATTGCCTAGAGGTAGAAAAAGAATTTTACCAAGAAAATTCCATTTTTTACTTTTTTTGAAAATCATCGATTTTATAAGTTGTATATCTCGGCACTAGCACAGCGAAAAAAATCTTTTTTTTTACTAGTCGATAGCTCATGAAGTTTACTACAAATAGTGCTCTTAGAGGTTTTGAATTCTATGCTTCCTTTATTTTCTACAATCGTTCTACAAATGGTCATTCCAGTGACCAAGGGGGGGGGGGGG